TGCGTCTCTCTCGGCATTACGTTTTTCGCCCCGTCCTTTACGAATCAGTCGTTCTTCCGTGACCTGTTGTTCGGCCTCCCTCTCTGTCTCATCCAAAATGATTTGAGCTGTTTCTTCCGCAGTAACGAGTTGTAAAGATTCAACCAGGGCAGGCTCAGAACGAATGGCCTCTACCTTCTTTCAAGCGGCCATTCGCTCGGCATTTCTCTTTCTCGCCATCTGCGTGAGATTTTTCCCAGCCATGCCTTCAGAAAAATCACTGGGCAGGACCCCCAAATCCGTAAAAATGTCTCAAAAAGAAAACTCTACCCGACCCGAAATGGACGATGAGTCAGGCTGGTTAAGACCAGCAGTTTCAAACGCTAATTTCAGAGCTTCGTCAACCTCTTCGGCCTTGGTAATGAACTCCCTGGTTGATTCAACGACCACCTCGACCTCCGGCTCTAAGTCTCACTCCAAATCGGAAGTCTCGAGACCAATCTGTCTCAGGGACTTGAAGGTGTGGAAGATAAGAGCCGTATGGTGTTGCTCGCCGAGAACGTAGTATAGGTAGGCTCATACCTCAGAAGAATATGGGCGGCTCTGTCTTGTTTCTGTATGTTTGGACAGCTAAAATACTTTAGCGCTGTCTTAATGTCTGAAAGTACTGCGTCATTAGCCGAGCTCAGAACCCTCTTCAACTTATTGCCTGCAAAAACGGAGGATTATATTTGGAGAAGAAGCCGAATAAAAGAAAATTCAACAAACAAGGAATCATACGGCAACCTGGTTCACCCCCCCGACTGGGAATAAGGTCCAGGCGATCTTCGCCTTCACTGAATTCCCAGTTGCCCCGAACATTAACCATTACATCATCAACTCGTTTGCCAAAGCTGGCAAGCATGGTTACCAAGTGATGGTCGATGTCCCTGGCCCTGAGAAAGTAACGCCCGAGCCGACCGGAGGATTTGGCTAAAGCATAGCAATGCCGAATCGCAGGAATGCCCAGGTTAATCCTGAGGCGCCGATTCACAATTCCCATTACGATTCGAAAGAAATTCACATTGAGTTGCGAGGGAATCAGATCCCAGTGGCGGAGGATGGCCCTAAGAAATGGATGTAAGGGAAAGCAAACGCCACCCTCCGCAATGGACAGGAGAGGGAACACGATTGTATTTGGGTCATCCCTCTCCATATCCGGGGAACTCTCCGTTACTAAAGATAGATGAACATCATCAGGAATAGAGAAATGTTTTCGGAACCCAGAAATTCGACCCTCGGAGAGGAGGTCTTTCAAATGCTTAGCCATTCTAGAGGGAACTCAAGGATATTCTAAAACAAAAAATAAATATGGAAAGTCGGATTGCAAAGAAAAGAGAATAAGACTTACGAGAGGCAAAGGGAACGAGAAGAAGACGGAGAGGAGTTGCAGAAAATACGTCGGAGAAGAAATATCGATAGGCGGTCCAGAAGGTTCAAATATTCGAAAAAGTATGTGTTCGAAAGGACTTAAACTTCAAATCATAATAAATGCGAGAGAAGCACGAATGAGGCGGGAAGGCGTTACAGTGACCGAAAAGCATGTACGCGTCCTGACATGCATCGGAAAGAGGATTAACCGCCGAATTTCTGTTTTCCCAAATCAGGAACCAAACACGCCGACTAACTGATGTTAGAAGGGTGTTTGGGGGGCAATTGTGGGAGCCGAATTTTCTACGAGGCATACTTTAACAGACAAGTATTGCCTGGCTTTGTCCAGAACCATTAGGATGCCGAATATAAAGGGCAGATGGGCCGAATAGGTACTGAGCTATGGAGCCGAGTAAATATGAACATAATGAGCGAAAAGTGGACCTGGCCCCAGAGGCCCAGGGACGAGTATAAATAAAGGAATAGGCAACTTGAGAAAGGTATGTGATAATTGTGGTGTTTAACTTATAATACAAGTAATCTAGAACGAGAGACTGACTTGTCCGTCGGAGTGCTAATTCCGACACCCCCGACCGGAGTGTTTACTTCCTTTTAGGTGCCTATTGGAGGATCACGAGCGTCCCCTAGGATCAGAAGAGTATTTCCAAAAACCATTTCCCCACATGTATCAAAATTTGTGGGCAAAAAAGATGCTATTTGTTGATATTCTATCTATTTGTACATCAAGTTCATCTATAATAAAAAATGATTTGTCACAGACTTGACTTATATATGACCCATTCAATTATCATATTATTGTGAATGAATTGTATAATCTAAAGTATACGTCTCGAACATGACACAAATCTAGTAAAGAATTTATAATAATCTTAAATTGTTTACAAGGACTATTTGATAGTGTTTTATATGTGTGTATATATATATTATTTATGGGAAAAAAATCAAAAACTTTAAACAAAAGCTCGTTTAATATCTATTTTCGCTTTAAAAACTTGTAAACAATTTATAAAATTTTCTAAATTTTTATGACTATGAGAAAGTTTGTTTCATTTGTTTAAAAAAAATTTTATTCTTTTTTCTCGCACCTTTCCGACTGCCCCTACATTGACCACCATTGCCACTAAACTCCATTGTCAACTACTTTAGGCCACTACCTGTTTACTAGTGATAACCACATGCAATCACCATTTTTTCTCATAAAAACTATCTTCAACCACCACCTCAAACACAAAAACCTTCGATGACTGTCCATCACCTCTATGTCCCACTAACGACAATCACTTCCAAGCGACATCTTAATAGTTAATAACACATCTAATGCCATTAACTTTTTTATATAATATATATATATTACTTTTGAAAGAATTTTTTAATACACGTGTGTGCTAAAATCTTACTTAACTACACACATCCAATAAAATTTCTCTCCCAAAATTTTGAGAATAGAGATG